GGGGGGCCGTGGGGAGCGGGAGTGCCCGGATTGCCGGGGGCCGTGGGGAGCGCGGGTGCCCCGGATGCCGGGGGGCCGTGGGAGCGGGAGTGCCCGGATTGCCGGGGGCCGTGGGGGGCGGAGTGCCCGGATTGCCCGGGGCCGTGGGGGGGAGCAGGAGTGCGGGGATAGCGGGGTCCCCGCAGCCGGGGTGGGGGGAGCGTGGCCCAGCGGTGGCCTGGCTGCGAGGCCCGAGGCCTGCTTTCTATCAGTTATCACTGCTGTGACAAAGGGGCCGCCACCAGACAGTGCTTCTGCACTGACGTCACCCTTCACCTCACTTCTGCACTGACGTCACCCCCCACCTCACTTCTGCACTGACGTCACCCCCACCTCACTTCTGCACTGACGTCACCCCCCACCTCACTTCTGCACTGACGTCACCCCCCACCTCACTTCTGCACTGACGTCACCCCCCACCTCACTTCTGCACTGACATCACCCTTCTGTCGCTGTCGCTCCCTGGCACCTCATTGTCGGGTCCTTTGGGTGTTGCTCAGCTTGGGGAGGGTGGAATCTGGCTCACTTGCCCTTTGCCCTTGTTGGGTTTCAGCATTTCCTGTGTTACATCTGCAAAGAGTATGTGGAAGACCTGGCCAAAATCCCCAGGAGCTTCTTACAGGTAAGTTCTCTGAGGGTGGGGGGGAGAGGCGGTGATCTGTTCCTAGGCAGCCTCATGAAGGTCGCTGGTCATCTGTGGGCCCAGAGCGGTGAGGTGCACTGGGGCTGGCACACACACCCCAGACCTGATACACAGGTCAGCAACCCATTCCTGCCCTAATGCTGGTTGCCATCTGTTGTGAAAGTACTATAGTAATTCATACTGCCTGTTTGCAAATTTGTGCAATGCCACGAAACAAACACCCAAAACTTCCTTTTATTTTATGTTACTCTCCATTTTTTTGTTTTTGTTTTGTGCAGGTACTGAGGCTTGCATCAGGGCCTGGGCACTGTCCCTTAGCTTTTTTGCTGAAGGCCAGCACTCTACTACTTGAGTCACCCGTCCACTTCTGGCTTTGTTGGTGGTTTTTTTCCTTTTTAGGGTTTCATGGACTTTCCCTGCTAGGTTTACTTCAAAGCATGGTCTTCACTTCTGAGACTCCAGAGTAAATAAGATTACAGACCTGAGTCTTTAGGGCAGGTGACTCCAAATAGTTTTTTATTATTAGAAAGTAGTCATCGGTCTTAAATATATCTTGCAGTAGATTCTGTCCCTAAGTGTTTTTCTTCTAGCAAAGATAGCTTTGTTCAACCTCAGCAAGGTTTCAAGTGAATACATTGGGCAGCCTTTGTAAAACTTAATGTTTCCATCATCAATTGGGATGTGAAAAAATAAAATTGATTAACCCTACTTTTGTGGGACGTGTGTGTGTGTGTGTGTGTGTGTGTGTGTGTGTGTGTGTGTATGTGTGTACTGCTACTTGAACTCAGAGCATGGGGATTGTCCCTGGGCATTTGCATTTTTGCTTAAGGCTAGGGTTCTACTACTTGAGCCATAACTCTACTTCTGAATTTTTTGCTTGTTAGAAATAAGAGTCTCAAGACTTTCCTGCTCTGGCTGGCTTCAAATTGAGTCCTCAGATCTCAGCTGTCTGAAGATAGTATTATAGGCCTGGGCCACTGTCACCCAGCCCCACTTTTGTAGTTTTTCTTCTTATGTATATCTTTAGGACAAGTGTAGTAAATTATTGACTAGCTTTTGGAGAAAGAAATTTTGAGAGGGGATCTCATTATGTAGCCTAAACTGGCCTTGGTTTTGAGGTCCTCCTGCTCAAATTACAGGTATGTACCACTATACCTGGCTTGAAGAAAAAAATTTTTTTCTGAATGTCCATTTTGTGTTTTTGTTTATGGGATAATGTTTTGATATATTTTAACATTATAGAATTATAATATTAAGCTACTACTTCATATATCTATTTTTTAGCAATTGAAAATATTCAGTATTACTTATATCACCATGCTGTTGGCAGATTTCTAAAACTCTTCAAACTAAAACTTTTTTTATCCTTGGAGCAACATCTCCTATCCCCTTTCCCCCATCTCATTTCCCCTTTTCCCTCCCCCCACCCCCAACCACTGTTCTCTCACTTATGAAAGTTTGATTCCATATATAGTACGATTATGCAGTATTTGTCTTATTGTACCTGGCTTTGTCCATTTTTAGACTTTCATTCAAAATTGTTCTAATTGTTTTTTAAATTTTTAATCTCTTTACAGACTAATAGTTTGCATACTATTTTCCCCTAATCTATGAGATGTCTTTTTCACTCTCATTTCCTTTGTGTACACAAGTTTTCTAATTTGATGTAATCTTGCTTGTCTGTTTATGGTTTTGTTGCCTGTGTTTTAGGGATTATATCCAAGAAATCATCGCCAAAGCCAGTATCATCAAGCTGTTTCCCTGTTTTCTTCTAATTGTTTTACAGGTTTAGGTCTCAATGTTTAAGTATTGGGATCCTTTCTGTGAAGTAAACATTTTAGCAAAAATTTCTGTGTAAGCAAACATTTCTCTATATGCTTTGAATCATATACTTTTACTGTTTTTTTTCATTCTTCTGGAAACCTATGTGTGACATTAGAATGAAACAAAAACAGCTGGATTAGGAGAAGTAATATGTACATTCTCTTTTTCTCCTAAAGGAAGCAAATGTCACCCTTATAGTGATTGGACAAGCATCCTACCATCATATTGAGGTAAGTATCTTGCAATTTGATGAGAAAATAGGTTGAATCTGTTTCAAATATAAAAATTGCATTATTTGCTGGGCGCTGGTGGCTCACGCCTGTAATCCTAGCTACTCGGGAGGCTGAGATCTGAGGATCACGGTTCAAAGCCAGCCTGGGCAGGAGAGACTGTGAGACTCCTATCTCCAATAAACCACCAGAAAACCGGAAGTGGCACTGTAGCTCAAGTGGTAGAGTGCTTGCCTTGAGCTGAAGAGCTGAGGGACAGCGCCCAGGCCCAGAGTTCAAGCCCCACGCCCGACCAAAAAAAAAAAATTGCATTATTTGAACCATTGGGTGGGTAAAGCTAGATTGTTCATTACTACTTTTTGATTAGCATTACTTTACTCATAACATTTCCAACTCTCTTCAGCCTTTCTGCAAACTGACTGGATATTCTCATGAAATCTATGTTGATCCTGAGAGAGAAATATATAAGAGATTGGGAATGAAAAGAGGGGAAGAAATTGCCTCCTCAGGTAAGACAGATAAAAGAAGCTAGTGTTGTTTTCTTCTTACATGTTTGCGTGTAAGTAGAAGATTTATAAATCAGACTATGTTATTAAGGTCTAATAATTGATTCAGATATGCCACTAGGTATAATGATATGTTAGTCCCTTTCCTATTCTGTGACAGAACATCTGAGACTTAATGAGGAGAAAAGGTTTATTTTGGCTCGAGGGTTCAGCCCATGGTCAGTTGGCTTTATTGGTTTTGAGTCTGTGGCGAGGTATAGTGAGCATGTGGAGGAGAAGGGTTTTTCACCTCTTGAGAGTCAAGAGGTGAAAAGACGGGCCAACGCCCCAATGTTTCCTTCAAATGCACTCTAAAGCCCTTCCTCCTGGAGGTTCCATCAGTACATAGGGTCTAAGCCTTCAACTCAAGCACCTTCTTGGGATATTTCCAAGCCACTGCAAATGACATGAGAAATTGAATACTATTGAATGGGAAAAAAGCAAGTTGCAAAGCATTGTTTTTTAGGGTGATTCCATTTTATGAAAACAAAATGTTGTAAACGTAAAAGTTTGTAGTCTGTATGTGTATAATTAATGAAAAGCTTTTTTAAAGATACTGCAGCATTAATTTAGGATGGAAGTGTGAAAATTGACCGTTTTTTTAAGAGCCTCACATATGCTAGGCAGCAAACATTCTCCCAGTGAGCCACACCCCTAGCCTTCATGCTTTCTATAACTATTGTATTTTTGTGATACCGAAGTTTGAACTTGAGGCTTTATGCAGCACAACAGGTGCTATTCTACTCGAGTCGTGTTCCCAATCGTATAATTATTTGAGTAAAAGTAAAAGTAATGCCAGGCGTCAGCAGCTCACACCTGTAAACCCTAGCTACTCAGGAAGCTGAGATCTGAGGATCATAGTTTCAAGCCAGCTCAGGCAGAAAAGTCCCCCTGAAACTCTTACCACTAACTAATCATCAAAATACTGGACATGGTTCCGTGGCTTAAAATGGTAGAGTGCTAGCCTTGAGCAAAAGAGCTTAGGGATAGTGCCTAGGGCCTGAGTTCAAGGCCCATGACAGACAAAAATTATAATAATAATATTAAGCTCAAGGTGGGTGGCTCATGCCTCGCTACTGAGGAGGCTATCTGAGGATCACGGTTTGAAGCCAGCATGGATAGAAGTCAGTGAGACTCTTTATATAGAACTGTGACTCGAGTGGTAGAGTGTTTCCCTTGAGCAAAAGAAACTGAGGGACCATAACCCAACTCTTGAGTTCAAGACCCTGGGGCTTGAAAACACACACACATAAACACAAACACACATGATTCATATTTTCATACCTCATCACTGTGCCTTTTGATACTTTGTCCTTTAACTAAAGAACTCCTACTTAATCATTTGAAACACAACCCAGAAACGCTTTTAGTTAGGTGCTCTTCAAGCAGGTGGAAGAAATAGTTTCCCCCTGTACTTGACTATGTATTGTGTAGCTGAGGAACTTCATTCATCTTAATATTGTCCACATTTCTTGTCCTTCTTACACTTTCTTGTGATTGATAGAGCTTTAGTTTATGTATGTTGTTTATGGCTGTTTTGTTTGGGAATCACTTGGTGTCTGAAATGCCAAATAAGAGAGTTCAAACTCAGATGAATGATTCTCAAAAAATATTATTGTGGTCTTGCCAGGTGCTGGTGGCTCACGCCTGTCATCTAGCTACTAAAGAGGCTGAGATCTGAGAGTCATGGTTCAAAGCCAGCCTGGGCAAGAAGTCTGTGAGACTCTTATCTTCAATAAACCACCAGAAAACTGGAAGTGGTGCTGTGGCTCAAGTGGTAGAGCGCTTGCCTTGAGCTGAAGAGCTGAGGGACAGCGCCCAGCCCCAGAGTTTAAGCCCCACAACTGACAAAAAAAAAGAAAGAAAGAAAAAGAAATAGTATTGAGGTCTTGTCTGTGACACCCACTATCTTGGATATTTTGGAAAGACTGATAAAAGACATGGCCTCTATCTTTCAGAGGCTTTTCTATAAGGGCTTGTGGCTAGTGATGGAGGGGGCTGGCAGATCAGGAATGATGGTAAGTTTACTCCAGTTGGGTCAGTTTGAAAGGAGTTCGCTGGTGAAGGTGTAGAAGAATGCCGTGGACAAGGCAGCATGGAAGAATGTGACTCTTTAGAAAAGAGGATTTTTTATTTTCTGTGCCAGTACTCGGGCCTCATGCTTCTCCTCAGCTTTTTCACCCAGCTGGTACTCTTACCACTTGAGACACACCAATAGTCCAGCTTTGTGTCAGTGAGTTAGAGATGATAATATATCGGACTTTTCTGCCTAGAGAGGCTTTGACATTTCATCCTCCAGATCTCAGCCTCCTGAGTAGGTAGGATTATAGATGAGAGCCACCAGCACCTGGCTTATTTTGCTTTTTATCTATAGTTCCCACCTCATAACTACCTCCAAAGGGCAGACTATAGAAACTGAGCTTCACTTCTCCAAGGCAGGACATGGAAACTAAAAACATAATCTTTCCCCTGGCCTTCTGGCCATGAAAAAATTCTCTGACCTGCTTATTTGATAGCAGATCGTAAGACCCACATCTCAGGAGTCCTGCCTGCCAGGACCCAGGAGGGGCAGCCCCACAGGCCAAAGGCATCTGAGCAGATGAGCCTTGCAGGGTTTGTTTCTCCACTTACCAAGTATCAGCTTCAGCCTTCTTTATCCAGTCACATTTCCACATGATTGTTCATGCTTACACAGTGAAGTATTTATAAAAACCCAGAAGGGCAGGGTCTTTCAGAGAGCAGAACATAGAGGAATGATTGGAGGGCAGCATACCCAGAGAGCATGAAGGCTCTTTGCCCTCCCCTATACCTGCCTAGTCATCTGTAGCTTTTTTAATTTTCTGTATAACAAACTGGTAAATATAAATGTTTCTTGGAATTCTGTAAGTCACTTAAGCAGATTAATGGAACCCAAAGAGGGGGTTGTTTAACCACAAACACAGGATTTTAGCTACAAACACAGTTACAATAAACACTCAGGGTTTTATGACTGTCATCTGAATTGGGGTGGGGGGCAGTCTTGAGGACCAAACCCTCATCTGTGGAATCTGATGTTATCATCAGGTAGGTGATGTCATAATGGCACTGAATTAAAGGACACTCAGCTGGTGTTACTGTGCCAATGTGAAGAATAACTCTTATACATCTAAAGTCAGAAGTGTTGTATATTACAAGTGTGCAATAGGAAAAACTGAGTTTGGGTCTAAGTTTGTTTTTTCTACATAGTCATCGAATTAAAAGGCACAGACAAGGCAAGAATGGGGGGAAAAAGTTACAAGAGTAGTGGAGAGGGGCTGGGAATGTGGCTTAGTGGTAGAGTGTTCGCCTAGCATGCATGAAACCATGGGTTGGATTTTTCAATACCATATACACAGAAAAGGCCGGAAGTGGAACTGTGGCTCAAGTGGTAGAGTACTAGCCTACCACTTGAGCAAAAGAAGCTGAGGGATAGTGTCCAGAGCCTGAGTTCAAGCCCCAGGACAAAAAAAAAAAAAAAAAAGTAATGGAGAGCAAGGCACCAGTGGCTCACACCTGTAATCCTGGCAACTCAGGAGGCTGAGATCTGAGGATCATCGTTCAAAGCCAGCCCAGTGAGGAAAGTCAGGAGACTCATCTCCAATTAAGTAACTAATAAGCCAGAAGTGGAGCTGTTTGTAGTTCAAGTGGTTGAGTGCCCAGACCCTGAGTTCAAACCCTAGCACAGGCACACACACAAAAAAAGTGGAGCTGGGCATCTGTGCCTTACATCTGTAATCCTAGCTACTGAGGAGGCCAAGATCTGAGGATCCCAGTTCAAAGCCAGTGCAGGCAGAAAAATCCCCATGAGACTCTTTATCTCCAATTAACCACCAGAAAACCAGCAGCTCAAAGTGGTATAGTACTAGCCTTGAGCAAATGAGCTCAGGGACAACACCCAGGCCCTGAGTTCAAGCCCCACAGCCAACAAAAACAAGACAAAACAAAAAGGTGAAAAACTGATTCTCTGTTCAAAAGGAATAGAAATGAAGGACCAGTAAATTGAGAACAGAGTAGAAAACAGAAGTAGGTGAGGGAAACATGGGGAGGTAGCCAAAGTAGCTGCTGTTACAGCAGAACCCCAAAGTCTCAGGTAGTATAACATGGTAGATACGGATATGTTTTCATATACATTTCCAGATGGTGTATCTGTTGAAGTGCCACACCTCCAAGTAGTAGTTCAAGGATCCAGGCCTCTTCTACCATGTGCCTCTGTTCTTGCCAACCCAAGGCTCTTAGGATGTAGAAAGAGCATGGAGAATTGCTTATGGGAGCTCTAGCTTAATACCATTTTTTAAATTTATTTTTTGGTATTTTTGAGACAACTAAGTTGTGAAAGTAGCTCAGGTAGACCTAGAACTCCTGGTCTTCCTGCCTCAGCCTCCTGAGTACTGGAATTACAGCACAATAATCCCAATATTAGATTAAGATTAGACGTATTAATATCATCTTAATATTTTGTATACTATAAAATAATATCTAATGGCAGTTTTCCATATTTTAGGACAGAGCCCTCACATAAAGTCAAACCTGCTCTGGGGAAGTCTTCGGAGCCTGTGGCGAGCAGTGAATAGCCCTCTTTTTGATTTCCAAGGAGACCCTACTCAGCAAGGTGGAACTCTCATTTTAGGTCCAGGTGAGTGAGCATCAAAATCCAGCTGGGTATCTGTGGCTCACACTACTCAGTAGGCTGAGATCTGAGGGTCATAGTTGAGAACTAGCCCAGGCAGTAAAGTCTATGAGACTCTTACCTTCCAGTTGTAACTATCAAAAAGCCAGAGATAGCACTGTGGCCCAAAGTGGTAGAGCGTGAGCTATAAGCATAAAAACCTCAGGGACAGGACCTAGGAACTGAGTTCAAGCCCCAAGACGAAAACCAAAATAAAAATAAAATTTAAAAATCTAAAACTTCTGGGCTGGGAAGGTGGCTCAGGGGTAGAGTGCTTGCCTTGCATGCATGAGGCCCTGGGTTCGATTCCTTAGTACCACATAAGCAGAAAAAAAAAAAAAGCCGAAGTGGTGCTGTGGCTCAAGTGGTAGAGTGCTTGTCTTGAGCTGAAGAGCTGAGAGACAGCGCCTAGGCCCAGAGTTCAGGTCCACGACTGGCAAAAAAAATAAAATAAAATAAAAATCTAAAACTTCTGGTTTCTTTTACAAGTCCAAAGACCACCCACATTCTTCATAACATAGATATTGTATAAAAATGGGCACCTTGCTAATTTTAGCTAGACAGGAGGCTGAGGTAGAAGCCATCCCAGGCAGGAAAGTCTGTGAGACTACCAAAAAGGCTGGAAGTGGAGCTGTGGCTCAAGTGGCAGTGCACTAGCCTTGAACAAAAGGAGCTCAGGGACAGTACCCAGGCCCTGACTTCCAGCCCCAAGACCAGCACCAAAAAATAACAAGTTAGAAAAGGGCAGCTTGACACCTAGTAGGGGCCTGTTTTCATAGTGCCCTTTTTTTCTCCAGAGGTTCATTTTTTGATGTCTAGTGAGGGCTCATCATTCTTGTACTGAGTGCAGGAGTTTGGGATAGGAAAAGCCAGCTGTGAGTTGGTGATGGGTATGTGACTATCACACTTACTGCACTCCTTTACAAAGCTCAGTGGAGGTTAAGGGCTCTTGCTTCTTAGGAGAGCACAGGCTCAGCATGCCAGCAGCCATGGATTCTATACTCAGCACAAAAAACATATACGTCAATCGCTCAGTGAAGGTGGGCACTTTTGAATAAGGGAGAATCATCAAGTGCTTTCTTCATTTTTGAATAAGGGAGAATCATCTAGCACTTTCTTCATCCTAACAAACTAGGAAATTCATACCGTGTCAGACCACAAATCAAAGCCAGTGACAGCAATCCAGTAAGAATTACCAGGACTGGGTTGAGTCACTTGAGAGTCTTTGGCTGCACAAGGCTCAGTGTGGAGAGTTTGGCAAATACCTTGTATCACAGTGCCAAAAAGACTTCACTGTGTTGTAAACTAGGTTTTCTTGGTTCTTCTTCCTCTTTAAAATTGTTTGCTTTAAAATATGTTGCTCGTTTGACAGCACATTTTATTCAACTGTTTTTAATAAGACTAACACACTGTTACAATTCAAGAATCTTTCCCATTAGAGCTCATAATGCATTAAATAACTTATGTAGCTCTATTCTTGTCATGCTTTATTGCCATAATTTAAAATTATTGTGACACTAGTGAAGATGATATTGGTCCCTTTGGACCAATTAAAATTTGAAAAGCTTCTTTCATTCCAATAAGCAATAAATCTAATGAATAATACTTAATATGCAACCTCAGCATTTTAATCTTATTCTCTTCTAGGTAACAACATCCATTTTATACATCGTGATAAGAATAGGTTGGATCACAAACCTATAAACTCTGTTTTACAGCTTGTAGGGGTTCAGCAGGTGAACTTCACAAGCAGACCTTCAGTCATCAACGTGTAATTCATATGGAAATCTGCAGCTTACAAATGGGCACTTAAAATGTGACCTTAACATCCTCATGCAGTGTCTACCATGCTGGTTCTCTAGCCTTTGAATGGTTAGGAAAACATCACAAGATCAGTACCAAGTAAACTGCATGCAGACAGTATCAGTTGTCAATAAATTTTCAATTTTATAGCTTCCACAGTTTTATGCAAAGTGAATATAAATGTACAAAAGACAATGTCAAAATTATAGAATGTAGTTGGGCGTCGGTGGCTCATGCCTGTAATCCCAGCTACTTCAGGAGACTGAAATCTGAGGATCGTGGTTCAAAGCCAGCCTGGGCAGGAAAGTCTGTGAGACTCTTGTCTCCAATAAACTACTAGAAAACCGGAAATGGGGCTATGGCTCAAGTGGTAGAGCACTCGCTTTGAGCTGAAGAGCACAGGGACAGCACCCAGGCCCAGAGTTCAAGCCCCACGACCAATTTAAAAAAATGATAGAATATATAAACACTACTGCTATAATGATAGCATATTCTTTTAATAAAATGTTTTCAGCAATTAAAACATATAAGGGCTAGAAAAAAATATATTTTTTATTCAGTGCAAAAAGCCATTAACAATGTTGCTGTTAACAGTATAACCACTTTTTTGTATGTACATAATTATATTTTTGTATGCTTAAAGAAAAGATAGGCAATAAATACACCATCGTATTGCCAGTGGTAGGTCTATGTGGCAAGAGTGTGGTGACTTTTGCTTTCTTTTCCTCTCTTCTGTATTTTTCAGCTGTTCTCTAGTTTACATGACTAATTACTTTTTGGTGAGGAAAAAGTCTTTGAACTTTATAGAAGAACCTACCTGTGTAAGACCTCTCCTCCACAGATGTGTACAGTACACGGGCACCACATCTCCATCCTAACTACTTCACTTAGAAGAAATAAATGAAAACTCCCACATAGACACCATCCAGAGCACCTGTGCCCCACACCAGCCGGCTACTTTACTAGTTCTTTTAGGTGGAATGAAGGTAGTTACAGTGAGAAATAATTGGTTTAGTTTTTGTGGTTGTTACTGTGTTTGGTTTAATTCAGAGCTGGAGGTCAAACCCAACTCTGGAACCTGGGGAGTTTCACAGATGCTAAACATATTCTGTACCACTGAGATAAATACAGCTCCAGCCCTGACTGTACTTGAAATATAGGTTGTTTTAAACATCTGCAACAGGGAATTATAGCATGCACAAGACTCTGGGTTCTATCACTAGATCACTAGTACTGCATTCTGATACATACACAGAGCATTTTTCTTGTGTGGGTGAGTGGTGCTGCCAGTACTAGTACTAAGGGCTTGAATGTGGCTTCATGCTCTCCATGTGTTCAGTCGTGGTTTGGACGTCTCACAGAGTTTTCTGCCTGGTCTGGTTTTGAACTTAAGTCCTCATATCTCAGCCTGAGCAGCTCAGATTGGAAGCATGAGCAACTAGCACCTGAAACAGAAGTACTAATTTTGAAAGCACATTTTAAGAATTGTTTAAGTTTTCAGAACCATGTAACTTAAGTGTGCACTGTGGCTTGCTTGTGCATTTCTAGACAACTGCTTGTTCTCACCCCAAATTACTCTTATTTAGAGAACTATTGTCATGTTTTATATTTCTGTCATCTTGCTATGTTTGCTTGGAAATATCCCAGAAATTCTGATGAAAATACAAAATCAATATTGGTAATCAGCAGCAACTATAATACTGCTTTGAATCCATAATATTTTTACATGAAGCATGTAAAGTCACAAAATATCTAATTATTTTAAATATTTGATGGCATTTTTATATTTGTTACATGGACAGTCATGTTTTAAATCAATAAAATTGAAATTTTTCAAACTAGACTGTGCTTTTTTTTTTTTTTTTTTGCAGTACTGAACTCGCGGCTAGGGAGGTGCTCTATCACTTTTGCTCTATTTACTTTTCAAGTAGGTATCATGTTTTTTCCAGGTTGGCCTGGGCCTGATCTTCTATTTAGGCCTCCCTCTTGGCTGAGATGACAGGTATTTGCTACCATGCCCAGCATTGTAAATGCTGGAGCACATGTATACACCGCCATGCCTGGCTCACAGGAATATATTTAACATAACATTATTAGCTGGGTATAGTGGCATTTGTCCCTGGTCCCAGCTACTCAGAAGGCTGAGACAGGAGGATCACTTGAACCTAAGTTCCAGACCAGCCTGAGAAACATGAAAAGATGCATGTGCTATGAACTATTACTTCCAAGGCCACTCATGTACTAAATTTCAGTTTTTGAAAACCTGTAGTATATATAAAATTGCTGGGTAAAGGATTACATTGAGTGGAATGTAAGAACCCCCCAACATAACTAATACAAGCCAATTTATTTTTAAATACTGGATAAAAAGTATGATAGAGTATATGATATTATAGAGTGCTTGGCTAGCATGTTTGGGACCCTAGGTGCATCCTTAGTAATGAAAAAAGAAAGTCTAAGTCTAACATATGGTGCTAATTATTTGCCAAACAGGATACTAGTGCTTTAAACACATTGACTGTGGAATTTCTGGGGGAAAAGGGTTGTTTGTTTGTTTGTTTACCAGTCTTGGGGCTTGAACTCAAGACCTAGGTGCTGTCCCTGAGATGCTTTTGCTTAAGGCTAGTGCTCTACCATTTGAGCCACAGTTCCATTTCCAGCATTTTTGGTAACATATTGGAGATAGTGTCTCAGGGAGTTTTCTGCCTGGGCTGGCTTTGAACCACAATCCTCAGATCTCAGCCTCCTTAATAGCTAGGGCTACTGGTGTGAGCCACCAGCGCCCGGCCAATTGATGTTATTATCAGTACCATTCACACTTTGCATTGTTTTTATCCAGTTTACCAAGTCAGAGCCAAACCTTTGGAACTTCATTTCTGTCTGATGTCGTGACTGTTCTAAATTCAGCTTAAAAACTCAACACAGAAGAGAATATGGTTTATAGTTATAGTGACGAATGCAGATTTGAATGAGAAAAATAATGTTCACACTCAAACCTATGGAGCAGAAATGTACTTGGATATAAATACAACATAAAATTTGGCTTTTTACCACTAGTGTACAGTTGAGTAGCATTAAATACATTCACATTGTGCACAACCATCATCAGCATCTACTTCCAGAAATCTACTTAATCTCATAATGACACTGTACCATTAGGCAAACCCCTACTCCTTCTTCCCACAGTCCTGGACCATGTCCTGTTTCTATACACATGACTATTTTGTATAAATGAAATCCGAAGATATTTGCCCTTTTCTGATTGGCTTATTTCTCTTAGCATAATGTCCCCTAAGATTTATCCAGGTAGCATGAGATTAGATTTCCTTCCTTTTCAAGGCAAAATAATGTATGTCTCATTTTCTTTCTCTGTCCATCATTACATACCTGGTTACTCCCATCCCTTGCTGTGAATGAGGCTGCTGTAAACACTAGTCACACAGGACCTGTTCACAGCATGCAGGTTATTCTGTGTCCATATCCCAAAGTAGGACTCCTTTCCCCTCCCCCCCCCCCACCTCCATGACCACTCAGGTTGGATGTTTTGCGGAACTGCCCTGATGCTTTCCACAGCAGCTGTAATTTACTCCTCATCACATTGTCTCTCATTTCTACCCATTCTCATTAGCTCTTTGTGATTTCTGGCTATTATGATGACAAATGACTTGCTGTAATTTTCTACAAGTTGCCTTTTTTTTTTTTTTGGTAGGTGTGCGCTGGTCCCAGGGCTTGAACTCAGGGCCTGGGTGCTGCCCCTGAGATTTCTTTGCTCTGGCTAGCGCTCTACCACTTGAGCCACAGTTCCTCTTCTGGTTTTTTGGTGGTCAATTGGAAATAAGAGCCTGAAGAGCTGGCTTTGAAGTGTGATCCTCTGATCTCCTCATGAGTAGTTAGGGTTGCACATGTAAGCCACCAATGCCCAGCTACTAAATTGTTTTAATGTGGAGTAACCAAAAACAAAACAAAAAACAAAAAGGGTAAGCGTAGCAGTATGCACTTAAGGTTTTCTATCCTGGAGCAGACATTAGCATTTATGAGGTGTGCCTGTCACTTGAACCCACAAGTTGGAGAGCAGCCTGGGCTACACAAAAACAGAAAAGAAAGGCAGGGAGAGGAGGGGAGGAGGAGAGAGGGAGGAGGAAAGGGACAGAAGAGAGCTGGGTGCTAGGTCTGTGGTTCAAGAGGAAGAGCACTAGTCTTGAGTGAAAAAGCTAAGAGCCTTGAGTTCAAGCTCTAGTACTGTAGCAAGTGGCGAGGGGGTGGGGGGAACCACTTCCAAAAATACAACAATAAAACACTTAAGATACCAAAGAGTTCCTCTATAAATCAACTGGAGTTAACCTCAGTGGTATTCTTTTTTTTTCAACCATAGTTAACTTCAGTGGTATTCTTGTTTTTAATAACTGGGTCCTATGTTTAGTTTTGTTTTTTTTTTTAATTTACTGAGTTCAAAGCCTTGAATGAGTGACTAGTATCCCAAAAACAAACCTTTGAAGCTTTTAGCAAATTATATGATTGAAACAACCTTACAAATAGGAAGACATTGAAATTGAGCTCTCCAAAACCAACCAGAAGAAGCCAATACAAAACAAATCACTGAAAGCTCAAATAGAACACAAGATTTAATGTTACATGAGGAACGTCTAGATGGAGCTCCTGTGTTCGAGGGCATTAATGTGATCTCTGCTTTAGACAGGGACTAAATGGAGAAGAAAAACAACAACAACAACAACAGAAAATGGCCTGTAATTTTGCAGCATCAGAACTGGATAAAACATTCAGAATTGTATAAATGGAGAATTTATTTGACACATGTCATTTTGTAAAAATTATGGTTGAAGAAAAGTATTCTGAATAGAGCAAATGATACTATCTGAAAATGTTAGGGCTGAAATAGTTATGCTTTTAATATGGGGGAAAAAGAATTTGAAGAGAGCCTCAATTTGGCAAAATTTGTTCTGATTTGCCTGCGAGCACTTCAGTTACCTGCAGAGACAAAACCTTCTCAATTTGAAATTTGCTCTCCAGGGAAAAGTCAAATACAGAGGTCAACAATTTCAAGTCACTTAATGGTAAAAGGCAATTTTAGAGATTATTGCTTTATTTAAAAACAAAAATAAAGCTGGGTGTTGTGGCTCATGCCTGTCATCCTAGCTACTCAGGCGGCTAAGATCTGAGGATCATGGTTTAAAGCCAGCCCTGGCAGGAATGTGTGTGAGACTCTTATCTCCAATTAACTACCAGACAACCAGCAGTGGAGCTGTGGCTCAAGTGGTAGAGTGCTCCCCTTGAG